TTTTATTCTCTTAATTTGTTTGTTTTTAATTTTTTAAATTACTATTATTGACTATGCATGTTACAGAAAGTCTTTTACTGGTAAAATACATAGTGTGAATTATGTTCGAACAATTACGGAACTGCGAATTCATTTATTTACTTCTTTTAATAGATGGATTCCTACCGTGAATACGTGACGAAAGTGCTAGCGTCTTGGACCACCTTACGTCTTGCCGAGGAACATATGTTTGGGGGACCAAACACACCACAGAAAATTAGTGACTTTTTGAGGGATATTCCGGAATTGTTAATCAGAACAAGATGCAAAGATGAAGTCTGTAATATGCTAGATAATTATCTCAACAGCAAACTTAACGTGCTTTGCGATGATGGGAGCCAGTATGAAGTATCACGACTGCTTTTTGAAGGCAAAGAATTGCACAGAAGAGGCCTCGTAGATGAATTGGTACGCAAAATAGATAGTATTCCTTCTCCTTGTGACATCAAGTCTTGTGTGGCTGATGAGGAGCTGAGTGAAGTAGGAAATGATAGTGATGAAACGGATTCATCCAATGATATGAGTCCTAGTGAATTTGAACCAAACATCGATTAAATAATGAAACGGGTTCTTTTTCAAGCATTTGGGTTTAAAGGAAACTATTACACAATCCAGAACACACGATCATGTTTAAATGAGTGTGATGGCAAACCCTGGCAGATGAGTTGGCACGCCATAATGATATTACTAGTTCTCTCGTTGAAAGCAAGTCCCGCGTTGCCTGGAAGGAGCTGAGTGAAATAGGAAATAGGTCTTAAGCTAATCCGTTGAAGAATAGAAATGATATTGATCTATGCATAAATTAACTTATGTTGCAAATTAATTTTCAAAGATTTAGGTTTAGAGGCAACTCATTTGAAATCCTATCAATTAGACGCTTATATTATTTTGATATTCCAGTTATCTGTATATTTCACTAAATTAAAAGTAATAACGGATTTTCCCATTACCACTGGCTACTTCTAGGCGAGAGTAAATTACCTACAGTTAGATTAGCTCTTATTCGGACATGATCTAAGGAGGCTGCCCATTTCTGGAACACGATCAAGAATATCTGCATGAAATTTGCTGATTTACTTGGAATTCAGTATGGATTTATCTCAACAAGGCGATGACATTTTAAAGTGTATATCCAACTTCGCTGGTGAATGTTGCTTTATCATTGAATTGTATTAACTTTAAATTCTATACAATGTCCAGCAAGTGGCCTGCGCAAGATTGAATTAGCTGTCACGTAGCCCTAAAAGATAAGGACAAAGATTTAAATTTTGACCTGTCATAAAATATATTCACACTTTCATGAGGTGATAAGCTATTGGTAAATAAATTTTGACAATGATGTGTTTTGTCCTTACGCCTACGTTGAATTTAACCTTCTTCCCGAAATGTCTCCTCATCCAGGTTTGGCTGTAGTTTCAAACTCGGCTCAGTGTCCTCAGAGCCTGTATTGGGACTAAAACCTTGGTAATGCTGGGTATAATCTCGATATGATAGCGACTGCACGCACCGCCACAGATCCCCTTAGGCCACGCTTCAGGTGTAGCTTTCAAGAAATATTAGGCCTTTTGACATGACATCCTACCGGAGGATTGTCGATGCTGGTAGATAATGTGGAGTGTCGCAACTCATTTGTAATGGAAATCATCTGATATAATAGTCTTCACAAATGAATTGGCACGTAATAAAGATACTATTCCTTCTCCCTGTGTAATCAAGTTTCGGGGTGCCGGCGTCGACCTGTGTGAAATAGCAAATATGAGCACTAAAAATAATCCATTCAATGATAGAAGTCCTCATGCTATTGACCTACATGGATTAACTTATGTTATGGGTTCCTTTACAAAGGTCTTGGTTTACAGGGAACTCGATCTAACTCCAGAACGTATGCGCGTACATAAATGCGTATCAGATCGTCCTGATGCTATTATTATTCTGATATTTCAGTTGTTATTAGTGGTTACTACATTTTGAGATTCGAAGCGATTCTCCAATCACCACTAGCTTATTTTAGGTGAGCGTAAACCACCTACGATCGGATTCTATATAGTTTTGACGCACAAACTGAGGAGGCTGAAAATCTCTTGAGCAGGATCAAGAGTATCTGCGTGGAATTTGCTGATTTAATTGGAATGGAGTAGAAATTCATCTAACAAGGCGTTCGAAGTTTTACGATGTGGATGATTCAACATCGTTTGTGAGTGCTGGTATATCATTGTAATATATTAAATTCAAGGTATATCCAAAGT